TAAAAAATATCCCTTCACAGTAAAAAAAATCATAAAAAACAATTTCTCTATAATCCAGAATCCTGCAAGGATTTTCCTTCGCGACAAAAATATCACAACAGATCATATAGAGATTTTCGTCCAAATCGAGTTCTACCGAAAACCAACGAAAAAATTTTACTCCAAAATAAAAGACCGTAGATTCATCCAAACGCAATTCTTTTCCACGATGAAAAATCATAAAAGCTCGTATAAAAATCTCGTCCAAAATGCTATCCTCGGCTAGCAAGTTCCCCAGTTCGTATTTCGCTAAAATCATCGAACGATCCATATTTTGTCCGGATCCCTAACAACGGCGTGCAGAATGGTTGGAGATGAGGACGCTTTGCAAGTTTTTAGCCGGGGCTCGATCGTTTGTCCGACGGGGAATCTCATTAACGAGGGGCCATACTATAATTGCGTATCAGGATCGAACGACATTCGCGAATATTAGGGGCTCGTTCGCGGAGCTCTGTCGCCGGAAAATAGTCGGATTAGTCCGGCAAGCAGAAATATAGCAGGCGCGTGATCACCGGCTACGATTAAGGCTCGTGTACAGAACGAACCGGGGTAGGAGAAATCGTTTAATTAACGAGCCGTTCAAGTGACGATATTAGCAGTTATGCGTGAAAACAGTTCGCCGTTATTTTGGTTACGATAATGAGATCGGATCGCGAGCAAATCCTGCTTATCGGGTGCTGTAAATTATGTTTATTTAACGACATTCAAGATGATATATTGACCGCTAATGACAGTCGTTAAATGATAAAATATTTATTATTCTTCTTACTTTAATCTCCGACAAAATTAATAACGCTGATGTGGTATGGATTCGTTTTGCATGTATTTTGGAATTACGATATCGATGAATGTGTATTTTGGGATGTCACTATCGTCATCGATGAATTTATTTATTGACATTTACTTATAATTCGTGATATAATTATGCATTTATATAACCATAATTTAAGGAAAGAACGAGATGTATCTCATTAAATAAAACTTTAGCGGTTATGCTTTGATCAGAAGTTTAGTCACTTGCTCATACGAAAAGCTTCGTTGGTACATATTCGACCTATTTGTAGATCCACTTACGATTGATATTTATTAAGTTATAAGAAGATTTATAAAGGATATTTAAACGAATCACCTACTATATTTACATATATCGATAAGAGCAACGGATCTCAGGATTCCGCTTTCCTTAAAATAAGCCATCAAGAGCTCGAGAACACTTCGGACGAACATCAAGCAAAGAATACATCCGCGTTTCAGTTTGTTCAAGTCGCGTGTACTGTCATTTCCGTTTTGAAACGCGCACTTATTTTTAATGTGCAGTCTCGATTCGGCGGGCCTCTATACAGTACAATCTTCGTACAATATACAACGTACGAGCGACGGGCGAAACGTTAAGTCCCCTGTTTGCGCGATTGTCCTAACAATATTCGTGGCGCGGATGCGATACGGCCGGTATTATTTGCACGATACAATGGAAGCGTTGTGCGAGTAACGATATAAGCGTGAATTACGCCCGTCTGCCACCGGCCGATACAGTGGCTTTTCGCGCTCTAACGATTTGCTTCTTTGACTTTATGTCGCTTGGAACGCGCCCGGATTAGTGGCCATTGCGTTGGACTAACGGGGAAAGATTCTCGGACACTGACGATTAAAAGGACCGTATAACTTTTGGAATTACTTGCCACGCAGCTTTCCCGGTAACGTATACCCTTGTGAAGGGGTGAAGTTCACCCTCTCGAAGATAGGGTTGCTAGCCAGTTTTGGATTGTTTCTTGTGAAAATGGTAGGAAGGAATGTTGTCTATAGTCCGTGGATGTTCGTGCAGATGCATATTTTTGCTGAAAATGTAACGGAAATGGAAATAAGATAGAAATTTGTTATGCTACTAGTAGGTTAAACGTGTACATTATTTTGCATCGTTTGGTTAACGTGTATCATTGTATTTGTTATAACATTTACATATTGGTTAATCGGGTACAATTATATTAAATTTCATATCCTTTAGTAGTACCTTCGTATGAATACAAATATTTGATACTATGAAAATGAACTTATGAAATCGGATGGAAAGACACTTCGTCAAAAAAATAAGGATATGTGGCATACTTTTTGTAGGCACTGTATATCTTTTGGATATTTATTATTATTTTTATAAGCGAAATTATAAAAATGAAAATTAAATAGAGTTGCTTTAAATGTTGTGTCCAGTACTTTATTTTGAATATTATATATATTTTTATATATTGTTTGCATTCTATATATTTTTATAGACTTAAATTAGTTATAAATGTATAAATATCGGCAGTCCAGTAATCAGTCTCAATTTAAAGTATATACTTATACTTTTGAGTCATTGGTCAAGCGTTGGATATATGCAGGGTGGTTGGTAACTGGTGGTACAAGCAGGAAGGGGGTGATTCTCAATATTCGTGGCGCGGATGCGATACGGCCGGTATTATTTGCACGATACAATGGAAGCGTTGTGCGAGTAACGATATAAGCGTGAATTACGCCCGTCTGCCACCGGCCGATACAGTGGCTTTTCGCGCTCTAACGATTTGCTTCTTTGACTTTATGTCGCTTGGAACGCGCCCGGATTAGTGGCCATTGCGTTGGACTAACGGGGAAAGATTCTCGGACACTGACGATTAAAAGGACCGTATAACTTTTGGAATTACTTGCCACGCAGCTTTCCCGGTAACGTATACCCTTGTGAAGGGGTGAAGTTCACCCTCTCGAAGATAGGGTTGCTAGCCAGTTTTGGATTGTTTCTTGTGAAAATGGTAGGAAGGAATGTTGTCTATAGTCCGTGGATGTTCGTGCAGATGCATATTTTTGCTGAAAATGTAACGGAAATGGAAATAAGATAGAAATTTGTTATGCTACTAGTAGGTTAAACGTGTACATTATTTTGCATCGTTTGGTTAACGTGTATCATTGTATTTGTTATAACATTTACATATTGGTTAATCGGGTACAATTATATTAAATTTCATATCCTTTAGTAGTACCTTCGTATGAATACAAATATTTGATACTATGAAAATGAACTTATGAAATCGGATGGAAAGACACTTCGTCAAAAAAATAAGGATATGTGGCATACTTTTTGTAGGCACTGTATATCTTTTGGATATTTATTATTATTTTTATAAGCGAAATTATAAAAATGAAAATTAAATAGAGTTGCTTTAAATGTTGTGTCCAGTACTTTATTTTGAATATTATATATATTTTTATATATTGTTTGCATTCTATATATTTTTATAGACTTAAATTAGTTATAAATGTATAAATATCGGCAGTCCAGTAATCAGTCTCAATTTAAAGTATATACTTATACTTTTGAGTCATTGGTCAAGCGTTGGATATATGCAGGGTGGTTGGTAACTGGTGGTACAAGCAGGAAGGGGGTGATTCTGAAGTTGAAAATATAGAATAAAAATTTTTCGTTTGAAGCTTTGTTTTCGAGAAAATCGACTTCGAATTTTCGCTCGGTACGCGTGCACTTTATCACGTCTTGTTATAACGGATCTCACTGTAGATCGTTGTCTCGATTGATGTTATTTTTTTAATTTTTTAAATTTTTAAATTTTTAAATTTTTAAATTTTTATTCTATATTTTCGACTTCCTTTTTCACGTAGAATCACCCCCTTTCCGCTTGTAATAGAACAAATTAACAAAATAATCGTAAGAAGGATTTTAACACCTTGTTTTACCACAATTTAAGTGCGATATTTCCTTATTTTTCGACACTTTTATATTTTCACAATTGAATTGTTCAGTAGCCTCGTTATTCAATAAATTATTCCTTTTTTATGCTTTGAGCAGATTTTTTCGTTATTATACACGTACGTTAAAAACTTACTATATTACGAAATTATATCATAAGAGAATTATAAATGTCCTGCTATTACCCTCGAAATAGTCGACAAGCCGTTTCATGTTTCTTTGTATTATTATTACGCTAATGAGATATTACAGAGAAATTAACGAAGAAAAACTACTTAACATTCGCTGTGCTACGAATACCCCTTTCGTTTGACTTTAATCCACTTAACTGCTACTCTGTAGTACCTTTTGTAGAATCAAGTATATTTGCATCCTTTTGTTTCCTGAACGATTTTAATAACGAGTTGTATTCAAACAGTAATGGCAACAATCTCTATAATTTCATGAAAAATATAAAAGAACGTGTAGAAATTTATGTAAACTATAGGAGTGAAATGTTCTTTCACCTGTTATGGGTTAAATTGTTCGTATAAACTATAAGATATGTCGTTAATTTGATCGTATATTCTATATAATGTTATCACAGAATATAAAAGAAAGAAGGAAAATTAATTCAATTTAGAAAAATTAAAATAATGACAAGAGAATTTTTACGGATTTTGTTAATTTAAATTATTAATTAATACTGGAATCTTATTATTACAAATAAAATATAGTCAATGACGTTGGTTCAATTATGCAGGAAGAGTTAATAACATTTTTTAAGTAATACAAATATATAGGAATGAACATCGAATCAACTCAAGCAATATTTCTATAATTTAATATCAAATTTAATAAATTATGAAATCGTAAGTTTGTCAGGAAAGCTATTGTAAAAATTGAAGATTTCTTTCTTTCCTATCGAATTAAAAATATTAATTCTGATATTACTGCAACGAATAAAGTTAGATTTTATTTGATTGGAAAAAATTGGATACTCGTGGGCGTAACACGAATGTTCATGACTGTAGGACTTTGTATAATTAAATATTATTTGCGTTCGTCGGAAATGTTCTCAAATTGAAAACAACGAAACTGTTTTTACATTTGGATTTCATACAGATATACAATGGACAGTTGTTTTTTCAAATTCATATCCTGTTACACCTTTCTGCCGTAACAATTTACGTCTAATTAAACGCGGCTCTTGTTATACGAAGGATTAAAATCACGTGTTTGTTTTTCACAGGATGCAATCGCACTGTCAGGAATTCCGTTGGATGGATACGATGGACGGGACGAATGGGACGATGTATTATTCGCATCAGAGCGCCTCCTAGAGATCCTCAGGTAAATAAAAATTCTCTTATGAACAATTGTGAATTAAATATTTTGCATTTATTATATTTTTTCTTGCATTCTGTAAATCAAATTTTCGCTCTGTATAAAGAATAAGTAAATCGAATAAAAATCACGATAAACGAAGCAAAATTCGTTAGTTTCATCAAAACGAGAAGATTAGTCAAATTTCTGGTAATGAAATCTCATAGAAACGCTATACACAATCTTCACCGACATTTTTTCTAGTCGAAGCATATTAATAAAATTTAATATTCCTTCCTAGAAAAATCTAACAGCTCTTTAGAAAATGAAAATCCACGCTATTAGGCATCGAATACTTAAATATCTTTTTATACAGAATTTCATTTCGTAATAATGTTCTGAAAACGCTATAAAGATGTCCTGTAACAAAATTTGGCCCGACGCAGGTGATCGAGTTAAAAGTTAGGAGGTTGCAAGTTGGTTTCCTGAAAGAAACCAGATGCGAAGGCGCTTACGTTCAATTCTCTGATGGCAGCGAGGATCTTGAGGATGAAACAGGACGTTACTGCGGCTATGTGAGTGGCAACACAACCAGGTAGAATATATTTCAATTTCATATTAGCTATTGTATAGTTACTGTCAATTATATTACTATTGCAAAGAATTTTATATATAGATATGTCATAAACAAAAATATCGGCACAGGCCAGATTTTCCTATAAAATTCTATATAAATCTGCAAAACACACGAGTTTTCAACCAATTTTTTTGTAAAATATCTATAACTTTCGAATTCTGAAGTTTAAGTACTTCATGACTTATTGTCGTTGGACTCTATGACGAAAGTACAGAATAGAACAGTAGAATAAAACATAAGATTTTATCTCAATTACTGTTGAATTGACCTAAGAGTCGATTCTGGGACATTTTTTGGGCCGTGGGTAAAAAAAGAAAGGTAACGGTTCTATAAATTTTAATAGAATTATATTCATTTTGTAATAAAGGTTATCGTAACTGTTTTCAGTTCTTTCTTACGATGCACTTTGATTTTAAATTCAGTTATTATATTTTATGAAGACAACTGATTGCACAAATACCTTTGTTCATCACTCTACATTATACAGATCATTATAAAATCGTTATGCAAAGAGTTTCTCTTATATCGTCAATCGGTTATTATATTTCACATAATTATACTGACAGATTTACGTAATTGCTTTATCGATAGGTATACTTTGCATACATAATTTCCTATGAATTTTATTCCATTTTTTATCCTATTGTACCTATTCAAATCTGAATAATCAGATATCAAAGAAATTTGCATTCGTAAATATACAGAACTTAGCAATTACTACAATAAATCATTATCAGAGTACGAAATGTTTGTACGATAAAATACGAGTGTACTAAATATGGAGATAAAAGGGAGGAGTGATTGGTAGGATCGTTAATGAAAAATAATTAACCGGTTGGAATAGTATTCACAGCAAGTTGTAAACCAAATGTGTGTAAGTACCTCTGGTAGATAATGGATTAAACAGATGCCTGTTGGTTGAAATGTAGCGATTCCAAGCCGCTTATAAACGCGGCATTTAATGTTTGTAAATATACCCCATTTCGATATATTCGATAATTTTGGTTTGCTTTAATTTCAATTTTCTGGCTTCCGAGTCTCTTTTGTAATCCTTATTAACACGTTTCTGCGTTACGAATCATTTTAATACAGTTATTTAATCATTCTCTAATTTATCGAATGTACAAGCGAAATATGTTATTTAGTTTGAAAGATAATTTGCCATAATAATAACAACGCATCATTAAATTTTACTTCGATATTCAATTACGATAATTAGGAAAATGGAGAGTTACATTTGTTATATTTATAATGTATTCTAGAATTTAATTGATTACCAATTGACCCATTACCAGACAGATAGTTCCTACTTTGATGTACGAGTCTACCGATCTTGAAAACTCATATTTTACCGCATTACGTATCTTATTGACCTTCTTATTCCAGCTACATTTTATGCTAATTATAATAGCAGAGAAATTAACATTGTTACTAACTTGTGGTTGTAACTATTGCGTGTATTATATATAGTAACGTTTCATAGATAGCGACAGCTCCAATAGCGATAAATTATATTTATTTATACTACAAAAGTGTTGAATGAAAAATTAGATCTTTCGGTTTCAATATATCGTTACAAACGTAAACCAATTGACTGAATACGTAACACAATATTCTTGAACGATTTATCAATAATTACTCATATGTATTGAAAATCTTCCCAAAATCTTGGAATACATAATAAAATTGAAAGATACATACACGCGGCAGACATTAAAATCAACAAAGGAGCTACTATCCACTTTTCAAATTCCCAACATTTTTAACATTACAACGAGTTCTTGGATATGTTAAACGAAAGTTTCGAACCTCTATATTTCATCCACTTCGTATTAGATACCGTTAAACGTAGAAATACCAGCGAATCCATTACGTTTTAGTTCGTTATGTCGCAAAAACGTAATCTAGCCAGACCTTACCTATTCGGCTATACCCTTTTAATTATCCCGCAGGCTGTTCCTGCGAAAGGGACCGAATTTAACGATCATAATGGACTCGGACGTAAAGTTCGCCGCCGAAAATCCGGTGATCTTCTCCGCCCAGTTTTCCATACTACCTGCCCAGCTGGCCGCCGAACGGCATCGTGGATTCTCCCCGTCCTCTTCGACAGAATGCCCATTGGAGTGCGCCGTGAGGAATGATCGAAGGTCCTGCAGGCTCGCATCCCCGGGTTATCCGGGCGTGTATCCACGTGGTATCAAATGTAGGATTGCTCTGGAGTCGAGCGCGGGTCGCTTTAAAATCGGCGGACAACCGGACGACCTTTTCGACCTGATGAACCGTACGTCGCAGGACGGTTGCCAGACGGAGAACTGCGAACAGCACGTTGAGATCGTGGCGGAAGTGACGAAGACGAGGGTCGCCAGATCGAAAGACGGACGATCTCTAACGGAAGAGGTTCCGGTTGAAAGGCGAGCGAGAAGGAGCCCGGATCACGACGAGGAGGTGGAATTTATCATTGGGCAAACGTCGCACAAGACCAGGAGAGGCAGAAATAATCGAAGAAGACTTAAGAAAGCCAAAAAGGAAGCGGACGGATCAAAGGGTCCGCGCGGCAATTCCCATGGAAAAGCAGCGAACGGGGATATCCGGAGAAATATCGGCCGTCCAAAAGAGATCACTGAACAGTCTTCAGCAGACGCGTTCCACGGCTCGAGGAGCAGCTTCAGGCATTCCGGTGGCTATCGCGATCAAGGAATCCGGCTAGAATCTATCCAGAAGAGACTTCGTCACCCGCAGCGCGTCCATAAGAAGTCCATGGATTCGATAAGCTCAAAAAAGAATTTCGATCATGATCTAAGAGATATATCGGATGCGAGGATTCTACCCGACGGGTTGGGACACGAGATTGCAAGGAAAGGCTTGAGCCAGGAAAAGATCACCGCGTTACAGGTGAGTTATCCCCGGAAATTTATTTCGGACGACACCTTCGGACGCTATCTCGATCGTTTCGATCAGGTTGCCTAGCGTTTGATTGATTGCCGTGTTATTCGACAACGATAACGGGGGAAAAAAAAATCTCGTGTAAATACTAATAAGCAAGTAAAGATGCGTAGGTATGTATTGATCGCGGTGTATATTGTCGTTCTATTCTATGATACATATAGAGGTTATCTGATTTTAGTTGAACTTATAAGGTTTACCGCTTGGCAATCTGATAACCGAACTTACAAGGTGCTTCAGTTAGCAATCGGATAGACGAGTTGAACTTATAAGGAGTTCCGTTTACCATAACATGTTCAAAGTGTGAATCGATATATTTGAACGAATAAATTGCTTAACTTATAAGGAACGAATATTATGGTTATAAAAATCGCTCTTAAAATTTAAAAATTATTCATTCTTTTCTCACCGAGACATAATAGAGAAACAATAAAACGAAACAATAAATTTTTATTTGAATTAAAATGATTATTAATAAAACGAGTATTACTTTTCATTTTTTAGATAACGTATTAAGCAACATGTTTATTTTACAAACTCTATTTACAAGCATCACGTATAAATTACAAATACACGATTTAATTATATTGAGAAGAGAATTGAATTTGATCGGTTTACTCAAAATTAAGCAATCGACGTATCTACTGTCTCTTTTTAAATAACTTTCATTTTCAAGCATTTCCCGATTCTTTCAATAATTATTGCTCACGTAATTTTCGTCTTCCCCCGACTATTCTCATTCACTGGAAACCAACAACGATAAATATCCCTCGAACCCCGATAAATACTTATCGATCATTCTGTTGGTGTGAAATAGAGGTTGCAATTGGAGAAATTATTTTGCAAGTAGATACCGGTGCGCTTTAATTTCGCTGCAAGGATACAACAGTAACTACCAAACTCTTGCTAAACAGTTCGCGCGAAGTTTCCTTTTGCGGACCAAGTTGATTAAACGTTTCGCTTCGCGTCTAGCGCAAGGAATAGATACAACGCGTGAATCTAGTTAGACGATCTAACGTAACGTAGAGATGAAACGAAATAATCGAATTACATTTCTTCACCCAATAAGGTTCCCGACTACAGATACGCAAAGAAGAGTCGAATACCAGAAAAATTAGCAAGCACCAGTTGCGTGGGCGATTATCTGGCGTTGCTGGAGAACGTGGACGGAAAGATCTTTGAAATTTTCAAGTTCTGCGGAGAGGGTCACGTTCCACGGATCCTTTCGAAAGGAAGGAGCATTATCGTGGAGTTCTTTGCGGAACAGGACGGCACTATAATGCACGACGGGTTCCAGTTGTCGTTTCAGGAAACGGAAGAGGCGCCCGGCGTGAAACACGATCGAAATTGCGAGTTCGTTTACAAAAGTACGGAACGAACCAGGGAAAATATCAAGTCGTTGCAGAGCTGGTATCCGCCGAATACTTTGTGCAGTTACAAATTTATGGGCAGATCGTCGGAAAAGATCTCCGTTCATATGAAGATAATCAGGAACGAGCCGGACCAGGAATACGCTTCGCAGAAACGGAACTTCAGCCTGAATTACTGCTCCGGAAACGAGATTGCGGTTTACAATGGGATCGAGGTGAGTAACCGTCGAGCCAACGTAAGAAATTAACGGCTTGTGTGGTAAACATAATAGCTTCCCTGTTGCTTGTCTTATTGTGCTATTCGAAATTGTTCTTAAATGGTCTTCGTTCTTTTAAAAAAGTCAATAAATTACGTAAGTACAGGGTCTAGTTGCACCTACCGTAAGAAATTTTTCATTTACTTTCGATTCAAATTGAATTTAAACATTGTGAACATATTACGTTCTTTTTTAAATTTTATTATATCGTTTTAATGTTCATATTTATCGTATTTTCTATTCTATGAGTGTAAGAATTGCTTCTTATAATTCAAACAAACAATCGGAGGGTTGGGGTAAAAATGGGAAAAATTTTCCATTTTATAACACAGTTTGTTTACGAGAATTGAGATAGCATAAATTGTAACGATTATAATGTTCGAAAAATCATCTTCATAAGATAACATTGAAGATTTAATATGCTGATTAATAAGGGTATGTATAGGGTATGACCATTCTATTACTGGAACAAACACGGATAAAAATGATTAATATTTTATTAATCGCTCCTTTTTATGATGTCTAAGTAAGATATAAATTTTATGAACACTGCCTTTATGAACAATTTAATTGAAAGTTCCTTCCTTAGTGGACTAAAACTCAATTAAAACTCAATTTTTTCAATAAAGCTATTTTGTAACATTCACTGTTTTCTCCTTTTGCTCTTCAATCTAGATAGTCGAAGTTATCGAGATAGTCGAATCATAAAGAGTTATTATAATTGTTAAAAATAACCACAAGTTTTCATATATTTAAGTGAAACTAATCCCTAAAAATGTTTTGGAAAACTATGAAATAAACTGCGAACATTTTTTGTGTATTTTAACATGCTGACTGCAGATGAATATTGCATCTTTTACTTATAACGTTAACGTGTTGTGGTTTGCTTAAAAGTTTCAACGCTCGAGTGCTTCTATATAGAATATTTAATACTTTAATATTATCACCGCAATATTAAAAGCGTTGAAAATTTTACAGATATGTAGTTATTTATTTAATTACAACGATTCAATTACGTTCGTCGTCCTTAGAGCTTCACTAACTTATCTAATAGAGTGACCCGCATATTAATCAACGTGTTAAACAACGTATGACTATCATTAACAAGAGTTGCATATATAAATTTTTTAATATTACTTTTATGCTATCGTCTGACTTTTTTCAACAACAAAACCACTACATCTGTTTCTATTACCTCGCATTAATTTGATTCGCGTCTTTTACAAAGATATTTTATTAAATTTACTCAAACTTTTGTATTGCAAGGAACATTTGCATCTTTCGAGAATGTTCTCTTCCTCGTTTCGTTTATACTATTTCATTTCCATCCTACAGCGAACTTTTTCATCCTGCAATTCCTGTTATGCTAATTATAAATCTCTTCGTCATGATAAAAAAAACATGAATATATTGAACTTCCAGGTGAACAACAGCGTCTTGATGTGGTCTTACTGCGATGTGTCCCACCAGGATATTAATAACATTCAAGTTCCTCTCACCTCCAGCGGAAATGAATTGTTAATACAATATTATAGCGCGAAGGGCTCGTACGATGGGCAAGAATTCACTTACACGATATCCTACAGGTTCATAAAGAAATCGCAGAATTCTACCACTAGACGTCAAGTCCAGGACGATTTCAAGCTGATCTCTCTCAGGCCGGTAAACTTTTCAGCGTTGAACTTCAACGAAAGTGAGAATTGCAACTGCGATTTCGGCGACAGAATCGGCAGCTTTAAAAACTGGTTTATGGTACTCGTTGTCTTAGGAATAGTCTCGTTTCTCGGTGCCATCCTCACTATAATAGCTCTCCTTGCCAAATGCATCAAAATGCGATCGATGGAGAAGAAACTGCTGCAGACTCCGAAACTATAAGCCCGATCAAATTTTGTACGATTTTCTATCTGTTCGAATAAAACGATTTTTTTTACAAGCGAAAATAGATTTAGATCTACGCATGTGCTCACTTGATCCACATTTGGACATCTACATTTATTTATCGATTGTTGCAATGTGATTAAAATTTGGCCGGATGTAATGATCTTCAAATCTTTACAACTCGAATCAAAATTGAATTTGGAATTGAAGAATTTGGAATTGAAATAGATATCGCAGATATTTCTCTTGATATAACTTAATCTATACGTTGCATTATTTTTGTCGGAGGAGTTTCTTCTTAAGTTACTATTTTTTAATAAAAATATTTCTATCTTGATTTATATTCAAATTATATCTAACGACAGTTCTTGATATTCACGTTTCTCGTTCTTTTCCTGCGATTTTAGTCAACTTTGCATTCACCGAACAAATTTTCATTCAAGATAGGTTTTATTAAAAATAGATGAAAATGTATATACAACAATCCATGGAAAGGAAGAAATATAATGGCAGCACAAGATACAAAAACAACTACTACTTTTGTAACTTTGTTCTATACTTGTCACATTCTCATTTTCGTTCGTTAATTTTTCCTTTAATTTCCACTTTCGATATCAAGAGAAATTATGTCTCAAAAAATATAATTTTATTTCATGCTCTATAATTAAACCTGAAAATATAACTAGTCGTACAATTAAGAACAAATCGTATGATGCTAAAGCAATCGAGCATCTTGTTCGAATCAAAAAATATCGCCTAAAAGGTCAAGGTCTCACCGAGATTTGAACTCGGATCGCTGGATTCAGAGTCCAGAGTGCTAGCCGTTACACCATGAGACCTTGAGAATTTTTTTACAGAAATTAGAATAGTATGCATGTGTAAGTAAGTGCATACTTTACACGTTTTTATAATGAATTAACATCGAGAAATATAAATGACAATTGTGATCGACGCAATGGCCAAGTCGATCAAGCATAAAATTCCATCAAACTGCGAACATGTAAATACGGATGATCCTCGACATACATATCTAATTAGAAAAACATAAGAAAATCAAATTGTTGACGTGGAAATGAGAGAAAACGAACGAAAGAGCGTGCGAAGTAGATATAAATACATACGATAAAAATTATTATACTTTGATAGGAGATCTAAGGAAATATCATCGCTTGAGGAGAAAGCTTTAAAAAATTTTTTTTACCGATAACAATAAGGACTAATTGTACGGTCGTTGCGGACGCTAATATATACCGTTATAAATGTTATTTTGCATAAAAGAATAAACGTCGCTTCTGTACAATATGATAATTAATCAAGGGGAAAGTCCATGTAATATAAAGCATTCTTCGTTGAATAAATTGCTGTATTATAAACACTTCCTATATCATCAAATGCTATTGATTCTCATTGTTGGATCTGAAGTCAAAGATAGAGGTTTCTTCGTGCATAAATTACGATTATTCGGTGCTCGAGTCAAACCTTGAATATTCAGATCTCAGTTGAATGAATGAAAATTGCTTAGGATGTATTAGTAAATTGTCCTAAGCAATTAGCAAACATGAAAGAATTAGCGTCAATTGTACATAATAATTTACCATAATGGAATGAGAGGACAGACATATTTCTGTGTTGCAATGAAAGTTGAAGCTGTAGAAAGATATTGTTATATAAGCAAATCTTAAAGCAAAAATACACAAAGAAAGAAAAAATGCAAAAATTAACAAATCGTACAGACTAGTAAAATCAGAACATTGAATCCTAATTCTACTCTCAGCGGCATACCAGAATCAAAGATATCAAAGAGTACGTTTTTATTGTTGCGATCGTGAGCAATTCAAGTAATTTCGCGAGCAAACTTTAACGATATAATGTGGACAGAATGGAGGTTCAAATCAAAATATTTAATTATAATTATATTTCAAGCGACAAAGAGTTATGAGAAAATCATAAGTAGATGTGCTTGGAAACGGGATGAAATACGTGCGAACGAAACACTTGGGGGTGTAATATCGTCCGACATAAACTATCGCCCTGCTTATTGCATCTTGTGATGAAATTGCAATGTTACATATAAAGAGGAAAGATAATCACAAAACAATATCACATAAGAGATTAGCTAAGTAACCACTTGAGAGGAGTAATCTCTTAAGTTATCTGTATTCATAATTTTTGCAATTCACAATTTATAATACATAAAATAAACGAGCTACATCGTTAACAAATATGAAAATTAAAAAATTTCTTAGGCAGACTTAAGATTTAAGAAGACAAAAATGATCGCTAATCATATGTAAAATGTTTTGCTAAATGTAAAACAAGATTTCCTCGTTGTTCTTAACATAGATTATATTTCATTTTTTATCACTTACGAATTATTTAAATTAATTAACTAATGCAATAGTACGGCTATTGTTAAAAGCGATAGCAGAAAGATTAAAATATTATCGCTGAATAACTAAGATTTTAGTATTATAGTTATAACCGCTATTAAAAAATTGTACAACATTTCAACAAAATTGGATTAAACGAGATGCCGTTAACGAGATATTTTTTCTTTAAATTCAAATGATGATTTAAAAGATGTAATAACAAAATGTTTGTTTTTTAATTTGTTTATATATAGAATAAACTCTTTCTGGCATCACACTTCGAGGTATTATAATGTCGTTTTAAAAATCTCCATTTTAATTTATACAGGTGCTTCGTTTATGAAAATGGTAACTTTTCCATTAAACCGCAATCTACCTACATTAATTTAAGAGCAGTTTCGGTGAACGCATAATGCGGGACACAATGAAGCATTCGCACTGACAGTAATTGGACGTTGCGCAAGCAATGATTTACCGGAAATATATTACATTGGCTAAGTCAAGGCATGAATCAGCACTTATTCGTGTATTTTGCCCATGTTTCATAAAGCAACGAGCAAAAAAAGTGAACAAGCGACACAGCTGCGGTGCCAAACAATAATTTGTTAAAATGTTCCTACTCGTTTCGTACACGAAATATCGCGAGAATGTTATCGAATGTAGATCTCTAAGTATTAATTTTTATTATCCTCGCATATTCACGTATCTCCGTCGAATACTAAATTGATCTACATTTATAACAATGGAACGTATTTTTGTAAAAAAAGAGAAAAGAAAAATAAAAAATAATAATGAGAAAAGCAACTTGTAAATGTGATAAATATTTAATCGAATTGTAAGCCCACTAACAGTAAGCGATCTACAATATGTAATAGCATCAAAATGTTCGAACGATGTGTAACTGTATCAAGTGAAATGAAAACACTTCATAATAAAAACAAAAGTATTGCTAATTGTATACGATTGCATAATTCTTCTTATTCTGGCATGACCTAATTTTTTATTTGTTTTATATAATATTGATCGTTACTCTACCAAACGAAAAATTAGTTTGGTGGATACATCGCTAGTTTCGTTTTAATTACAAGAGTTTCATGATAAATGACATGATAGAGGTTTGTAACTCTATTAATTAAGTTTCTTTTCATGTTAATAATAGAACGATTAAAAATATTAGTTATTAAATGTATTAGAAACATAATTGATAATTATAGATACACTTATATATATCTCTGTGATGAGATATTTATTTATTATGGAATAATATTTATTTATATCTAAATAAATCTTACTTGCGATTTATTCATTATTACATGTACTTCATGATCAATACATCAATCTTTATATTATAAAATATTGACAAATAGTAGTCAAAAATATGTATACATTTAAATTTGTTCTGCTCTTAATGGTTCTCCTATTTTACCAATAGATGTCGCATTTGAAGTCCTGATATTCCTTTCTATGAGGTCGTTTGTCAACGGTATCGATTCGATACATGTAAAGTTAGTAGTGAGCTTGCAAATTCGCGGACGGAGTGTCGTTTCTAACTGTAACTTTGTGTATCGAAAATTCGAACAGAATGGCAAGAATAGCAGCCATAAAACAATCTTTGGAAAAAGCGTTACACGATGAAAGCAAAACATGGGCAAAGTATCTAGGCAAAGTTGAAAAAAAGACAGGAGTCGATCGACTTTATGTTTTTTTAAGTATGGACGTTAGAATCATATACTTTGTAAGCTTTTTGTGGCAGTTTTTGTCTTGCTTGATAAACCAATTAATTATCACTTTACGTAACGAGAACCTAGTACAAATTTCTCTTGGAAACAATAATTTAATCGTAATTTTAAATTTAATTCTGAAAGTTTTCAAATTACGCACATTTCACTCGCATTTGACTATACTACAACGATATCGTATAGATTGTAGAATATAAAAGAACCTTGACAACGCGGTTATTTTATAGCATAAGATTCTACAAAAAGCATTCGATGACAATTGAATATTCATAGGTATAATAATAATAAAGGGAATGATCGAGTTTTTCCGCATTTATGTAACATACACATTTTACTGTATCACAATAAGATTCTTGCAATTTGCTTAGAAATTTTGCTTACAATAATTAATTTCACTGGATTTTTTTATAATGTTGTTTAATATTTTTTAGGTTTTGTTGGATTTACAGCATTATATTTGGTGTTTGGTATTGGTCAGCAGTTAGTTTGTAATATCTTTGGATTTATATATCCTGCTTATTGTTCTATGAAAGCCTTGGAAAGTCCAAAGAAAGAGGATGATACAAAGTGGCTGACCTATTGGGTGGTTTTTGCAATTTTTACAATCGTTGAATTTTTCGCAGATTATATTTTATGCTGGTTTCCAGTCTATTGGCTGTTCAAGGTACTTTGTTATATTTTAATTACATAAATATAAAATGTAAACCATATACTTATTATATTGTTGGTTTTTACAGTGTCTCTTTTACATTTGGCTAATGGCACCTATTGAACGTAATGGTTCCTTAATATTATACAACTGTATTATTAGACCAAACTTTTTAAGATATCATCACAAAGTTGACGCATTGATATCGTCTGCTCAGGATGCTGGTATATTTTTTATGACAAGATATATATATGTACATAGTTAATACTTTAATACTTATTACAATCTACTAATGAAAATACTTTTATTTCAGCTGTTAAAGCTGCAGCAAATGCTTTGCTGACAGAAAAGCAGGAGTAATATTTATAACTTTGAATTCCTGGAGGCTTAAAAAATATGCCTTAAAAATTTTTACTGTTTTCTCGTCTCGCCCATTTTTAATAAAAAGGAAACTGCAATATATTTGACAGTTTTAATTTCCTATATATAATGTTTATATAGTAGTATAAATTTTATAATCAATTGTGCCTATTATCAAGATGTTATAAAATCCAATTACACATGTTATTGTGTATCTTACAAATTTCTATAGTTTGTCAGCAATGTAGTTCATCAGATCACAAAATTTTGAATGAATGTAATAAATACATAATACTGTCATAAATGCAAATAAAAATTGTATGAATACATAAAGTTTATAAATACAAGTCTTACAAAAATGGCTGTGTAATGTTACATTCTGTAGCAAGATTTTTACATAAGCCAAGCCAATTTAGTAATATTGAACAAATAATTCTTACAATATCATTTGTGATTGGATATTGATGATATTTTAGGCAGTTATAAGCACTATTTGAGCAAATGTTTTCTATCGTAGTATAATTGTCTGTATAAAGATATTTTTATGCCATGATATTACAGTTATAAACAAGGTGAATATTTTTAGTGTTGGAAATGAGTGTATAATGGTTTGTAAAATCACCAAACAAACGACTTCTGTAAAAAATACGTAACACGAATGACGAGATTTATATTTGCAATTTTGTAAGTGAGGGTAGGATTAGGTAATATAAAGATTGAGAATATGTCATAAATCATGATACATGTGTATGATGTATGGATACTAAAAATTAATGAATTGTAGGTAAGCGCAAAATTTTTGAAATGATAAATTAGATATTAATCTTGCACAAGTATAAAGACAAGCTTTTATATGAGCTTTAAGCATATTTGTAGCGCCAAACTTATATTTGAGCAGACGTTATTATCTTATAAGAGGTTGAAGAAATATGTGGCATTTTGCGACTGACCAGTCGTATCTTAACAATCGGGAGACAATGTCAGGTCATTGTTGATCCATGCCAAATTCGCGTATTCAGACCTTATAAAATAAAGTGTAAGAGGTTCCATTATTCTTAAAATAAATTCTATACATTTGAAATATTTACGGTTTATTTTCAAAACTAGAAAATTTTCAATACAAATGGAAACGTAAACATCGAGTGAGCGAGACGGAATAAAAACAAATACATTTTTGTTCTCAAGCCAATAAATCGACAATATACCTTGTGACAAGGTCAGTGCACTTTTTACAACACAACTCAGGTCCGAATTGACCATGTACCGTCGGTGAACTAATACATTTTACGGTAATAAGTGAAAAATAATCTGTTTTTTTTATATTGTTCCTGCTTATACAAGTCGACTGGTCAGTCGCGTTTTAAACATCTTCGCACTGAAGAGTTTCGCTGACTCCTCGTTATTGTTTCTGTTGAAAATCTTAGTCCAACGTTAATATTACAAGCCAATAGGTATGCTGAGTCTCCTATTCACTAATAATTTATTATTCCATTACATTTTATTCAATTAAGAAGACATAATTATATTTAAGTATACAGATTTATTATTGGTTGATAAAATCTCAATAAATGTGTTTTAGGTCAATTCAATAAAGATGATATCTTTTATTTCATATTCTTTAAATGAGCACTTGATTTTTGTACAGTATTTGCAGCGCTGATATGTTACAAATGATAATCTGTTTCTTCTAGTGTACTTCTACAATTTAATAACGGTAAAATTAATTAAATAATACATACATATAAAACAATTGAAATAACAAAAATACGTACATCTCTTTGAAGTGTAATTTTTCTGCTGTTAGTGCAAGTTTCCTAATATTTCTAATAGTGCAGGCGGCGGCGATTTGCACTTCCGGGTCATCTGATCCCACCAAACGTAGCACATGCTGTAAATTTTTAATATGAACACATCAACAATTGTAGAACACGTAGAAATTATAGGATAAATGGCTTTAGGCCGTTTTAAATAAAAACCTTGTATAAGTCTGTTGAAGAATTTTGACGAAACATTATTATTAACTTATATTTGTTAATATCGCACGGTTTTCATCTTAATAATTTCTTTATTAAAAAATAATGTAGAAATGGCGTAGTCGAAATACTTTTTATGTGGAAAACATTACTGTACATACTACATACCTTTATAACACCGGCAGAGTGCATGGTGATGCAGTTCATGGGCTCTTTACTTAAATGATACGCGGCTATGCAAACTCCCCTAAGAACATTTGTATTTTTGCTAGTCATGTAGTCAACTAATGGTGCAACCGCGTGCAATCGACCAAATTTAGCATTATTCTCCCCCCATTCGCAACAATGAGCTATGGCTAAGGTCAAATTTGCACGCAAATCTTCATTTTCCTAAAAGAGAATAAAATGTTAAATTGAAATAAAGCATTAATATATTGATTATTAAATTAAATAGTTCTAAATATTCAGGGGTTTAGTAAAATGTCGTTATTTCTATGTGTTAAGAATTACTAGAATAAGAAATTTGAATCAGTTCATTTTCGGACAAAAAGAATAATAAAATATGTTAATAAACTTGAAATTATAGATAAAAGCATGCAAAAATGTTAGGAAATTTATTTACTGTTTGGGCTTACTGGATTCTCTCTCTCTCTCTCTCTCTCTCTCTCTCTCTCTCTCTCTCTCTCTCTCTCTCTCTCTCTCTCTCTCTCTCTCTCTCTCTCTCTCTCTCTCTCTCTCTCTCTCTCTCTCTCTCTCTCTCTCTCTCTCTCTCTCTCTCTCTCTCTCTCTCTCTCTCTCTCTCTCTCTCTCTCTCTCTCTCTCTCTCTCTCTCTCTCTCTCTCTCTCTCTCTCTCTCTCTCTCTCTCTCTCTCTCTCTCTCTCTCTCTCTCTCTCTCTCTCTCTCTCTCTCTCTCTCTCTCTCTCTCTCTCTCTCTCTCTCTCTCTCTCTCTCTCTCTCTCTCTCTCTCTCTCTCTCTCTCTCTCTCTCTCTCTCTCTCTCTCTCTCTCTCTCTCTCTCTCTCTCTCTCTCTCTCTCTCTCTCTCTCTCTCTCTCTCTCTCTCTCTCTCTCTCTCTCTCTCTCTCTCTCTCTCTCTCTCTCTCTCTCTCTCTCTCTCTCTCTCTCTCTCTCTCTCTCTCTCTTTCTATTTTACATAACAATAAAAACGCGATGATATACATTATGCATTAAAAATATACTTTTATCATAAATATCATGAGAGGGATATTTTAAATTTCTGTGGAAATTATTTAAATTAAATCATTCGAACAAAAATGATTTGAAACAAAATTAAGAAAAAAGAAACGTAATAAGAAAATATCATTCCCAATCTCAAAATATTTTAACGAAATACTTCCATTAGTACAACACATAAATTCTAACTGTCACTTGATATCTGATCTGTAATATGTTAACATGCTTCCTTCTTCTTAAACTAGAAAGATTGACCCTCTGAAAGAATCTCAAAAAATGCCGAAAGAATTGTTAAAATTCTTTGGATATCCTGCAGGAAAGAAGAAAGAAAAGGTGTAGCGCCGAATAAAGATCGCAAAAATTACCGTGGACACAAGATTCGCCAGTTTCTCCACTACTCCATGATCGCTGAGAATACCCAAATTTTCCGGGTCCGGAGCGATTCCGGCAATAGTGGCACATACTGCGCTCAGTACTTCGGTATTGCTACTTTCAAGAAGACTGACTGTAAGCTCCAATCCACCTACAAATGCCCGTACCATTTCTGGAGAGTCTTTGGCATATTTGATACAGGATACCAATGCGAGGCAGGAGTTTCTTTTGATTATGTCACTAGGATGTTTCAGCAATGACCAGACCAGTCGAACACCATCATTGATGTGCTCTGGATCGTTGATGATGTCCATGCATTGTTCATTTTGCGCGCACTCCTTTATCACCAATGGTATGTTCTCCAATAAAGGCTCGTACGTAGAGCTTAATAATTTGATCTACACAGTGATTTAGATCTTATTAATATTTTTACTGCCATATGTTGACGATGATCATACTTGTTGGACCACGAATGATTTTTCAAATATATTACAGGAGAATTGAATGACATTTTTCTTTTCCTTTAACGTGTATTTCATACTATATCTCATTCTACTTTTGTATAGATTATATACAGTTCAAAACTGAATTTTCTAGCTCATATTTAACTTCAAGTTAAATATCTCAAAAGTAAAGACTTTTTAAAAGAATTCTAAAGAAATTCTAAAACAATAGTCAAATTAAAATGAATGCCATGAATTTTGCGTTTACTTTGTTATGTATCTATTACGTTGCTTCACCGCTTCTTTCTAATACTTTTTCAGCTACTGTAACTCAAATCTACAGAGTACGTGCGAGAAAACTTTATGGGATAATTTAAGGAACAAAGACGAAATCGGCCTTAAAATATTGAATCAGAGGATTAAAACGAAGATAATGGCCACTTTAAAGTAGCAAATAGAGATTAGAGATACTCATAAGTACCGAAGGGTATTAAGAGCCAAGATTAGGAAAATAATGATAATACCTCTCATCACAGATAAAGAAACAACTATAAACAACTAAAACCCGTAATCCATATTTTGATTTAACATATTAAATTCAGTAGAGCGACGAGATAAAAATATTTCCATAAAGAGAAATAAACGTAGAATCACCAGATTTGGCAAACCATCGTTGATCCTCAGAACATCTCTGTTAGCAGGATCTTTACAACATTCCGCCAGTGCTCCTACAACATTCGCCTGCACGTCGTCATCCTCGTGTTCTTCTAAAAATGGCACTAAAGCAGCGACCAAACCATTTTGATTGAATCTTATTACGTTCTCTGGACTTATGGCACATTTCCATATTCCGCCTGTGACTGCAGCTAACAATTGTTTATTAGCCCGGACTTCTTCGCATTGTAAAAGCTTGCACAATATATCCAGACCAGATGTCTGGCGAACCATGTCCCTGGCAATTTTGTTCGTTCCACATTTGAATATCGCCAGAGCGCAATTTTCTTTCAACTTAATATTGTCACTTTGCAGGTGTCGTACAACGTCACAGATAATATCTGTGGTCTCGAACGCTTTGCGAAATACGTTCTGTAATTGCGAAGGAATTATCAATGGCATATGTAAGTTGATAAATGTTTTATAAATTTTTAGATAAGGATTTGCTTATTATCTCGTTTATCGCAAATATATAAACAGCATTTATGCAATAGTATCAATCTTGATAATAGATAATATGTTGAACATTGATAAGAAATATTGGTATTATTGAATATTGATGAGAAACAAAAGATAATTGTTATATAATAATTCTGTTTATACTGAGAAAGTTATACTAGAAAATAAGATACATTATATCATATAAAATATACCACCCATGTAAACATCATATAAAACATGCATCAAAATTCGTGAATTAAAACACTTAAGTAAAAATATAATAAAATCGAGTTAAAAGAATTAAAGATCCAAAATATTTTAAATTTTAAATATTACCTGAAATTCTCAAATATCCACGTTTGAAATAACAGTTTAACATTTAAATCTCATTTACCTTAATTGCACATTGTTGAACAGCTCCCATCATCGGTACTACAAGAGAAGTGTGATGTGATTTCAGGAAACGTTCCATGAGCTTTACCACACCAAACTTGTGAAGTACGTCTCTCACTTTCGGACTACTGCTCAGAGAATCTAAAACTTTAGCACAGCCTATGGCAACCGCAACTAATTCCTTGTTAGTTTCGTTCAACTCATTGTACGATGTTCGAAGAATAGAATCTGGCACGTCCATCACATCTAACTATTAAAGGTTACAATTTTTTTATGATATAAAATCTTCGTTATACGATTATTTCGTTGATGATATGCTAAGAATTCCAAAAAATTTGTCAGAGGCTTCATAAAAAATTTCGCAAATAATTTCATTGATCACAAAATCAAAAAGTTAAATAAATATTTAAGAAATTATAAACTGATTAAGAAAGCTTACAATGAGAGGTATGCCTCCTCGAATTCGTATTTGTTTCCTTGCTTTCCTAATTCGTGCAACAATAGCCATAGTTTCTGCAGCTAAAACCTTCGCAGCAATAGAATAGAACGTCAATATAAAAATTATTCTCATTATTTCTATGGCATTCATAGTATCTTTAAATTAATGTAACTTATTTTGTATTGAGCTTTATTGGAAACGAATCTTATTACTTTATTTTGTGAATGAATTTTTCATTAGATTTGTTCAAAAAGGTGTACTATCATTATTATTGTACAAGAGGAATAAAATTGTAAATGTTCTTGTGCAAATGAACGATCAGTGAAGTATAAGAAAGTATACTGAACGAGCGAAAAACTAACTTGAATGTCTCTAGCTGGATGCTTTAACATTTGAATCAACGGTGTTACAATACCAAGATCGATTAGGTGCCGTCGCATTTCTGTAGATGACACGATCTGGAGTAAAACCGACAGGGAGCCATTCTGGCATTTTAAATCTCTCGTTTCGAGTAGATTCACCAGAATCTCCAGACCTCCCATCTCTCGAATCGCCTTTTGTATAATCTGTTATCGTAGAAAATTAAAGGTGCATTTTATTTGTCCTGTTTTATTAACTCTAATTATGGAGTATATTTTTGGAAAATTTGAATTTCTAATTGTCTTTAATTAATACATTAAGAATTTCTATGAAAAAGTTCTCCCCCTATTTCTTTCTCCATTATTTCATTCTAGATTATTTAATAAAAGTAATAATAAAAAATTACATTATTTAATATAAAATAAATGAAATAAATTTAATGTAAATATAATCGATAGTCAAAGTAGATTCTTAGTTTTCTAGTCGTTGGCACCCGGCATTACGATATACGATTAATTTTCATTTTCGTATGCAATACAAGTAACAATGATTAAATATCGTATAATTTTTCGAGAATATTTCACGCGAATGAATCGAATGTTGTAGAATTAATTCTAAATTCTTCGACATGTGAATTCATCGAATCTTCGCTTAGAAATTTTGTGCTTAATAATTAAAATTATAATTATATGGAATAAAAACTAAGTGAATTACCCTATTGGTCAGATCATAATCTTTTAAAAGACAGACAGCCACCATAGTTGCGGTTTGATTACCCGCTTTCATGTATCTGATAAGCTTCTGTATGTGCCAAAACTCTGATGGCACTTCCGGAGCTTCATCCTGCACGTATCTTAATTCATCGTCACTTTCTGATTCAGGTTCGTCATCTGTACTTTCTTCCTCCTGTTTTTCGCTGATGTAACGGACACGAGGACCGAATGGTTGTCCAGTGACTGCTGATATTAGTGGCTTCGATGGTTCTTCCGGTTCGATTACTTCCAGCATATCCGGCTCGATTCTTTATTCGAAAAAAAAAGAAAAATAGAGAAGATCAAAATGAAATGTCATAATTGTAGATCGTTGAAATAAAATCATAGGTTTCTTTAATTAAGCGATTAAACGCATAATGCAGTTATTTAATTACAAAATATCGTGATATTACAAATACTTACATATGTTAAATATTAAGGCTGTGAGACAAAAAATATTAAAAAACAAATAACTCTGTGAAATGACGGCTCTGGAACAAAAGGTATTAAAAAATAAGTAGAAGCATGAGTGTTGCAAACGTTATATAAAATTTGTTTTAGCACTTTGATGCGTTACAAAATGAAAATGAAATATTTATGAGATGATTGAGATTATAAGACGTATCGTTTTTTATTTACTCGGAAACTTATTTCATTTTTCAATTATTAATTTATCAAGTTTGACAATAAATAAATAATCAATCGTCATTTACCACCAAGTATTTCTATAGACACGTTAATATAGTACAATACTATATAATTAAATACTATAATTTATGTTTGAAGTACAGTGATTCTAAACTTACGTTGGTGGCGGTTCGATGGATATTTTCTTGGCATCTTTTTTCCGTTTCGGTGGCATAATCTTCTATTTCCAACTACAAGGAACGATGAGAACGTTGAAAACCTTGTTTCGTGTGGATAGGATAAAGTACCCTCTTTGTTTTGGACGCTTGGATTAAGAAATTTGTTAAGCTCCTTGTGCACGCAGCTATCGATCAAACAATTCATTACCATGTACAGCCCATGTAGGCATCTGTTCTGCGAATGATATAAAATTAATTTTATTTAATTTTCTTTCTTATGATACTTATTTACACGTCTAAATACTTATGTTTATATATATCGTAAATGTGCTTTAGTTAGCAACTTCTTCTATAATCTCTATCAAAAGATGTATTTTCTTCTTAAATATCTTCGACGCGCATTTTTAATTTCGTTTAGTTAAATTACATACTTGGTATTACAATACAAAAAATTGATCACTCGCTCGATCGATCAAATCGTTGTTTACTGACCTGAATAAATCGATTAATCGGACATATTTTTGTTTTATATACGTACATACTACGAGGGACAAACAAAGCAAAAATAAAATCGGAAAATTTAAAGCTATGTACATTTCTACAGCGCGTATACAGAAATGGACGATATATTAAAGTATAAACTCACATGGCAGATATATGACGCTGAAATTATTCAGTGTAAAATATTCTGAACGTAGCAGTACTTTGCCATACGATATTTATTTTTCGTTTAAATGACAGTTTCGTTTCGATTCTTCGCGTTCAGTCGATAACGTTCCAGGTTAATCGTGTCAATTGAGATTTACAAATGACAGAGTGAACATAAAAGCATTGATCGTTCGTCATTCTAAATTCTAGGTTAAAATTCTACAAAATTCCGGTCCATGTGTTCATTAATATCGAAACAAATATTTTCAGAACACATATATTCAAGCACAATAATGTATAATCATAATTGATGCATGGGAAAAGGAATTTACTGACCAAATATCGTTTTACGCAACTAATTAGATCGATGTAAAAGCATACGATGCACGTGACGTAAGCGTAAGGTAAGCGTAATAAATAAAATTAAGGGTGTTTTACTGTTTGATCTTTGGGAAACTCAATTTTGTTGTATTTTTTAAACTCTTATAGCTTCAAAATAAAAACCCTGGAGAATGTGGCAAGTAGTGGCTAAGATTTACATTTTTGAATTATTAGTTTTTTTATTTCAATCTATTTACTGTTGCAGCCAAACTCATCGTAACTAAGAATCTTCGGATTCTTTTATCTTGTAATGTGTATCGTATCGTATCGTGTATGTAAGTCGTAAGTCATTTTTCTTATCTAAGAGAGCGCGTTCTACGGTATATAATACTGTCAATTTGTCTATTTCTTTTTAGCAAAATTTACAGACGTTACTGAAACATAGATAAATACAGTTTTTGCAAAATATAAAATGCTAATGAAAAGGATTGTATAGATCATTAGTAAAAAAAATGTAAAAAAGAATCTAATAATACGAGTCACTTTAAATGTTACAGAATGAAGAACTTTATGGAAAAAGGTGGAAGTACGGAAAATCTAAAAGCGGTTTGTAAAATTGCTAAGAAAATCAAATGTTCCGTATACACATATATGCTACTCCATTTTCAGTGGTGTTGCTTTTAATATCCTTGTCAATATGGCTTTGTATATGCCGCTGGGGATTTCGGTATAATTTGAAAGACCGAGAAGTAATTAATTACTTATATAAAATTCTAATGCTGTTAAAGTATCTTTAATCATCATAATTGTGTTTTATACTTTTTAAATTAAATAAATGAATGGACACAGATTAATGACACTTATATAAACAACTTACACGTACAGATTTTATCCTGTTTAATTTTATACTTCATCGTCATTACTATGTTGAACATGCTTTTTTTGGGTCATATGCGATTTTATTGCGAACGTCCACGAGGAATTAAGAATTAAGAACCACATACTGTAACAGGTAAAAGCAATAATATTTATAAATATATATTGTTCATACTCTTTTTAGTTGATCTTTATTGAAAGGATAAAAAATGAAGAAATCGATTAATATTTTAATATACGTAAGAGAATATATTACACATTAAAGTTTTTACAAAATGTATTATTACTTTATAGCCACAGCATCGATTATCACAGTACTTTTATTATCTTAATTCGTTAATCGATCAAGAAATATTTTCTTTATATTGTTATGAAAATCAAGGAATATTTAAATTGAAAGTAATTTATCTAATAATGTAAATAAATAGAGCATTCAAATGAACCGCGCTTAGAAACTGAATATGTCGATCTATCGGAACGGTATACTTACATAGGTTATATTCACAATAGGTGATCGTACGCTTATTTTAATTTTTTCTGAATAACTATACGTGTTTAATCAAAATTCAAGGTATTGTATCAAATGATCTACTAGATTAATATTGAAATTAATTTAAATAATAAACGTAAACAGTACTTTTAACATTTTTGATACATTACTAACCTATAAGTGTAGTGTTATTTAAATTCAACATAATTATTGAGATAAAATATATTATTAAAGAAATTATATTAGAATCAATCCTATTTTATCTCTTATTAAAGAAATTATATTAGAATAAGTTAATGTCATGTTTATTACTTACTGTTGTTTTATGATATCCATTTTATGTTAGTGAATACTTTTATATTATATGTATTAATATATTTTAATCTCATTGTAAAAGGTAATTAAAATGCATATGCAAATACAACGATTGATATAATAAACAAGGAAAATATTAATAAAGGTCTAATTCTGGATATCCTTTTCAGATGGGAATGCGTAAACATGCTCAATTTCTTGCTCGGACAGTTATGGTTCAAGATAATAATATAGAAAAAGCTTCTCGTTTGTTAAATAGCATATTGTCAAAAGAAGGTATTTTTGAACAATATAGACGTACTAGATACTATGAAAAACCTACCCAAACAAGAAGGAGGATTAATTTTGAAAAATGTAAAGCTATTTATACCGAGGACATGACTAGAAAAATTCAGTTTATTTTAAGAAAAAATAGAGAAAATCCATATCCTGGCTCTGACTAAACTGTACTTATGTTTTCATTAAGTGTCTTGTATAATTTTAAAGTCATCTGTAAGTTTGTATGCATATGATATAGTGGTAAATATCCTTACTTTATGTATATTCTGTATAACTGGTTAAAAGACGTTAAATAAATTACAAACGTATGCCGTCGGTATGTCAGAAGCTGATACACAGAATTCCATTTAATGTCACGTCTATCTTATCATTAGCCAGTTATATCATTACATCTGTACCTCGTTTATGGTCATATGTCATATATTATTTCATGCTGAATCGGTAACGTCAGAAATTACACAAAAAATTACGGAAAAATAGAAATTCAGAAGACGCGGAATAAGATGGTACGTTGGATATTAGATCAACTTGTAGTTTTTGTATTAAACTACAGTTTCAAATAAATTGTATCTGAAAAGGAATACATATGCATATAATTCAAAGTATGATTTGTATCGTGGCGCCATCCTATGAACTACTTGAACCACTGATTTCTTTAAAACTTGATGGATAAGGGTCAGTTTTCTGTTTGTACAATTTTTTAAACAATTTTCATCTCTGGTATAATAGATATCATTTTCATTTTAAAATTAATTATAAAGAATTTTTCAATGTATTAATGGAAAAACAAAATATCGTTAAGATACACTGTAATTTCATAATTATCGATTTAAAAGGATATGAGATAAGGGTTCATTATTCAACATTTAGCTTTATTTTTATGTATTGTTTCTTATCCAAAGTTACGAAATGAGAAATTTATGAAAATTAAATCAAATATAATACCAAAAATATCGTAAGCTACGATGCAACTAATTTTATAAAGTATTTGAAGTATATCGAATAAATATTATCAAAGGTGCCAGAGTAAACAGCATGTTTTTGACAGATATTTTCAACGTTGTTTTCAACGTTGTAACTTCATTGACTGTTCTAATTTCAAAAAAACCTTTTACCGTAGTATTCTACGCATGTGAAACCAAACAATATATATATATATATATATATATATATATATATCCAATTTCTCACATTTACAAGGTGCTACACTGTATTACTTCTGTGACGTGTAACTGGAAATGACGAGTTTTGTCGCTTTTTAAATTTACATTTGTTTACAATAGTCAAGAAGATGACGTGTATATTACAATGGTAAGCGTTAACAATAAGGGTAATCTAGTTCTCATGGAAAATTACTTCTGGTTATTTTTAATAACGCTGTATTGTTCTTTAACGAGAATAGTTGAGCTAGTTATCGTTAGTTGCAATTGAAGCGATCTTGATATAATTTACAAATTGATTAGCAAGTTGCAGCTTCGTATCGAAAGTGAAACGTAATGAAGCAGAAAGTTATCTTTCTCAGTATTATTTAGAGTTACAATATAAGTTCCAAATTTTTTATTAAATCTTAAAAATAGATCAAATATGTTTGGATATGACCTTTAAAATTAAATCAGTATTTTCTTAATAATCTTAAAACAACGTAATCGTACGAAACGTACACACATACGCAAACATAGGAAAGTAACAGTCGTATTAAATTTCTTAACGTTATTTCTCTCTTATTATTAAGATTAAATGCTTGTAAAATTAAAAATAAAGTTTGTTTACCTAATCAATACATTATTTATAGTGAGTGATATGAATCGGAATAAATTGTGCGATCCGTATTAATTAAAATAAAGAAAATAATAATACACAGTATATAAAATATAATCAGTAATTACGCATAATATTTAGTGTGTGATGTGTAATGATACAATAACAGATGTATGTACAGGGTGGTTGGTAACTGGTGGTACAAGCGGAAAGGGGGTGATTCTACGCGAAAAAAGAAGTCGAAAATATAGAATAAAAATTTAAAAATTTAAAAATTTGAAAATTTAAAAATTTAAAAATTCGAAAATTTGAAAATTTAAAAATTTGAAAATTTGAAAATTTAAAAATTTGAAAATTTGAAAATTTAAAAATTTGAAAATTTAAAAATTTGAAAATTTAAAAATTTGAAAATTTAAAAATTTGAAAATTTAAAAATTTGAAAATTTAAAAATTTGAAAATTTAAAAATTTGAAAATTTAAAAATTTGAAAATTTAAAAATTTGAAAATTTAAAAATTTGAAAATTTAAAAATTTGAAAATTTAAAAATTTGAAAATTTAAAAATTTGAAAATTTAAAAATTTGAAAATTTAAAAATTTGAAAATTTAAAAATTTGAAAATTTAAAAATTTGAAAATTTAAAAATTTGAAAATTTAAAAATTTGAAAATTTAAAAATTTGAAAATTTAAAAATTTGAAAATTTAAAAATTTGAAAATTTAAAAATTTGAAAATTTAAAAATTTGAAAATTTAAAAATTTGAAAATTTAAAAATTTGAAAATTTAAAAATTTGAAAATTTAAAAATTTGAAAATTTAAAAATTTGAAAATTTAAAAATTTGAAAATTTAAAAATTTGAAAATTTAAAAATTTAAAAATTTAAAAATTTAGAAAATTAAAAAAATAACGTCAATCGAGACAACGATCTACAGTGAGATTCGTTATATAAAGTGCACGCGTACCGAGCGAAAATTCAAAGTCGATTTTCTCGAAAACAAAGCTTCAAACGAAAAATTTTTATTCTATATTTTCGACTTCTTTTTTCGCGTAGAATCACCCCCTTTCCGCTTGTACCAACAGTTACCAACCACCCTGTATATACGGAAGGAGATACGAATGAAGTAATAATGTTTATCAGTTTATAAGTAGACCGCAATTATAGTTTGATTTGTTTATGAGGAGTGTTCGCTTGCTTGCGTCTTACACGTATATTGGCAAAATAGTTTATTATTCAAGAGTAATAAGACTACGTGTATATGTCTGCTATCTTGAAATATACTTTCTTCAGTAGTCTGTATATTTTCTCCTAGGGCTGAGATCTACATTTAGAACGTTGGTAATAAGAACGTAAACGTACTCGTGACGCGCATGATGGAATTATGAATCGTCTTAAATTTTAAATTTTCTGGTAACCTGTTATTAAAAATCCGATTATATGAATTAAACAGAGGGGAATTCTAAAATATAATCTTTTAAATAATTCAGTAAATCTATCGTGATATTTTATGGTTCTAAAATCTATACGTTTCTGTCAATATGTATAAGGTTTACGTTTTTCAAAAAGCAATTTGTTTAATTTTTCTAAGGAAATGTTTAGAAAAAAAAATAGAAAATAAGCCATTTTACGATGTAAGATATCAAGTAATATTTTCACGTTAATATAAGAAGTTACGGTCAGTTTATTAAAAAGGAGAAATGTCGTTCGTGTGTTATGTATCTATATCGGTCTTCTGCAAAAACATAGTCCGGGATGGTAAAACTTTTTCCAAGTAGCGCACCATTTTTCCTAAGTAATTTTCGTTATCTTTACTTTGGAAAGAACTTTAATCTAGTTTTTGCAATCATCTTACCAACTTCAGGTTCTCGACTAAAAAGATTATGAAATACAAAATTTTATTTCGTTTATTTTGGTTTTATGTTTAATTGATTCTTTGCTTCCACTGTATAAATATCTTCACATATCCAATAATTAACTTCTGATACGATAAGTACGTAAATAATGTTGCAGTTTACAAGACAAAAAATTCACCATAGTAGAAAGAGGACGAAACTCTCATTGCAATATGATGAACGCAATAAGAAAAAATGATTAGGAGATTTTTATGCAATCGAAAGATACATGAAATTATTCGATTAAAATAAACTGAATAATGATTTTAATAAACTGAATAATAATTTTTTGTCCTGTCTACGCTGGTATTCCTGTTTTTCCTTCTTGCTAGGGAACTTGGCACCACTATCCATTCATTTTTGCTATCTATTCAATTTTCGCCAAGTTGGCGAATTCATTGCCAAGAAAACCGACAAAACGTTTTGTCTTTGCTCTGGTTTCAGCACGCGAGGTAGAAAACACGGAGAATGAAGTCAGAGTTTGTAAAAAACAATTCAACGAGATTTGTCTTCTTGGATGACAAGCGCAGATTAGGAAAGCAAGACGTGAAACGACGAATACTTTTATTAAAATTGGAAAGTTTTAAGAAAGAAAGTTAGAAATTGAAAGGTAAAATTACGATTCCATACATTACATATTTCTTTTTCTTCTAACCGGTTTATTTATTTGCATTTTTTTATAGATTATCTTCTGACCGTCTACAGACTGTCAGAACTAGAACTTACAAGTCGTTCTAAGAAAAACAATTTTGCGCACACATTTTACGATCAGACGTTTGTCAAAGTGGCGCACTAACTGTTTACAATCTGTAATTTCCTCGATAGAATCGTTCATTCAGATACGAATTTCGTTTATGATGATTGCATTATACAGGCTGGTAAAATATCGTAACTATATTATACAGGGTGGTTGGTAATTGGTGGTACAAGCGGAAAGGGGATGATTCTACGCGAAAAAAGAAGTCGAAAATATAGAATAAAAATTTAAAAATTTAAAAATTTAAAATTTAAAAATTCAAAAATTCAAAAATTTAAAAATTCAAAAATTTAAAAATTTAAAAATTTAAAAATTTAAAAATTCAAAAATTCAAAAATTTAAAAATTCGAAAATTCAAAAATTTAAAAATTTAAAAATTTAAAAATTATAAAATTTAAAAAATAACGTCAATCGAGAGAACAATCTACAGTGAGATCCGTTATATCGAGACGCGATAAAGTGCACGCGTACCGAGCGAAAATTCAAAGTCGCTTTTCTCGACAACAAAGCTTCAAACGAAAAATTCTTATTCTATATTTTCGACTTCTTTTTTCGCGTAGAATCATCCCCTTTCCGCTTGTACCACCAATTACCAACCACCCTGTATAATATAGTTACGATATTTTGCTTCGATCTTTCTATCTTTCGTCGCGTTTTCAAAAATATGAATTTGCATTTTGGTACAATCAGTAATAAATTATTATTAAGAAGGGATCGATCGATGACAACGAGATTCAAATGCAGTAACGAGGAAAGAACTATAATAGATTCTGTATAGGAGCAGACGAGAAAAAGAGTGAATTGCGCGGACAAGGGGAAGAAACGACGAAACAAACAATTTATAGAAGAATACAGAGAGGTTGAACGAGAAAAATAGTTAACTAAACTAACTAGTAATTAATTGGAATTTAATAAAAATTAATTAAAATTGATAAGATTCTCGAGTATTTCGAGTATCTCGAAATACCGAAATTACCTTTAAATTTTTGTATTTATGAATAGATATATCGATTGGTACACATTGTACGGTACTGCACTGTATTGAGCAATCCGGGAAGTTAGTTTCGA